ATCAGGGATATGTAAGAGGAGATTGATGGAGACTACCTCAGATGGAAATCTCCCGGTGCCATTTTCTATCTCTCTTTTCAGTGTGTAAGTCTGCTCTATGTTTGACTTCTTTTAGGCTGGCAATTTCTCAGTTTAACCATAAATAGTTCTGGGTATAGGAATAAAACAAAACTACATATTTTTAAAAATGTAAAAAGGGATAATGTTTACAATATTCTAAAAGGATGGGTGACTGAGAAGGGTTCAGTTGCCCTATTTCAGAACAACTTTCATGGAAATATTCCCACCATCTATTTGGCAGTCACCACTTTGGCCCCCCACACCCCACAGTGTATTCTATACTGGTCTCTCAGTACACGGTGATGCTCTTCTCCCCTAATCACTTAATGGGTAACTAAGAAATACAAAATCGCTTTGGTAATAGCATAAGGCATGTATGGTTAGGGAGGTAACTCTGGGCAAGAATCTTTTGATGAATTTTAAGTTAAGTAAAGAGTATATATTCATTGATCTCTCATTTAGAATAGTAATTCTCTACCCCAGTACACCCAAAACAATTTGTGGTGATAAATATTTTGTAATGCTTCCTTTACATTCTGGAATGAAAGCTAGAGACCTTTCTACACATTTAACTTTAAAAAAAAAATTGATATGCCCTGAGTATAAAAGATAAATTAAAGGAATATTTAATGAAAATAATATTTGTTTCTGTGTGAATGCTGGGGTGTATCTTGGAAGCCATAATGAAGCTGTGAGAGATTTTCAGTCATTTGTAGACCCACTAGGAATGCAGCTGTCACAACCGCACACTCACAGAGGTGTGCCATGTGGTGCTCAAAGACCATGAATAATGTTGCTACTGTTGAAGTGATTTTCCAAGATGATAATCAACTCTTGGTAAGTTCTAAACAAAACAAATTACATCTCTCCCTCAATTTACCCAGTTATTGTAGTCTTAGAAAATTTATTTTTTAAAATCATGCAATGCAAATGTATTTATATGTACAATGGAGATAAATTCACTTCAGAAGTTATAAACAGATTTGTGCTTACATGATGACTCATTGGGACCTTCAGAAGCAGGTGAGATACAAGACAGTGTTCCATTCCAAGGCATGGGTCCTCACATGGCAGAATGTCTAACAGACCAGGTCCCTGCCTATTTAACACCACAAGGGCCTACAATCATCATGACAGTCACAGCTCTTCCCGCAGATTTACACCCTTTCCCTTAGAAGGAAGTACTACCTTTGCTGAGAACCACCAGTTTTTAATTTTTCTATAGGGCTTCCGTCACTAACTGAGACAATTAAGAGTTGACCCTAGTTGTCAAACCAAAGATGCACTAGGAGGGACCTAAAGCTTATCTACTTGGCCACTTCATTTCACCCACATGAGGGCAAATACCTAATCATGGATGTTCAGTTACTAAGATAAAAACCAAGGTTTCCCCTCCCATAGCTTTTCTTATTAAAAATTAGAAAATATATCTCTCTTGCATACCAGACTTTTGAAATATTTATAAAATTGAAATATTAGATAATTGGAAATTCTTAAATAATTGACAAAATATTTCAGTTCTTTTCCAGTATATTCTGGTTTGTAAATACTCACTTTGCACCATGAAGTATGATTGCCAGGTTAAATAAGCTCTAGTGCTCACTAAAAGCCTGGATTCCTGCATTTAAACAAATCAGGAAGATTTAAAACTATTAGAAGATCCTTGTTGTGTGTCCAAAGGAATGGTTTTGCAGAACTGAAACTGTCTTAAATGGCTACTGGTTGATTGATTTTCCCACTGTTTTCCACAAACCACAGTCATCAGAATCCCAGCAGGACCTTAGGAAACGAATGACTGAGATTCCAAGGGCTCCTGAGGCCATGATTAGCCAGGGCCTCTTCCTCTGACTCAACACAGCAGGGGCTGGTCCCTTCACAGACCTAATGAAGACTTGACTTGTCACTAATTATACCTCCCAAGCAGGTTATTGGAGTGAACTGGATATTTTTACATTTAATTTGGCAGATCAGATATTCTGGAGAGAACGTTTGATCGTACAAACTCCACAATACTCACAAGCTCTCCAAATTAAATTTGCAGTCAAAATGATGTCTGTTTCAAGAGCACTGCTTGGAAAAATTCTATTTATAATTCTTGTACTTTATCAAGATATGCAAATTGTGTACAAAATAAGCTCATGGGATTCAGGAATTATTGGATGAAGCTTTGGATCCTACACCAAAAAAGAGAAATTAGTTACTTCCTAATCCCTTCATCACACAGCAGCTAACTGTATGTGCAGATTAAACTCTCAAGAACTCCAAAGTAAACATGAAAACCCTCCAGGAAAATACCATCAGGCCTGCAAACTTAATGCTCACCTACTCTACACTCTCCTCCTGGGCAACTTCTTCAGGCCTCCCTTCAGAGACCATTTCCTCTTAATTTTAGACTCACTCTGACTGTATAAACATGCAGTGTTGGAAGCAGCAATTTAGAAAAGAGATGGTCTGACCACTCAAGGTAAGGACCATGAGAACAAGTAACAACTGCTTGCCTGACATCAAGGAGAAAGATAGAAAAATATTTTACAAAACTGAAGAGGAGGGCTGAAATAAAAATTAAAATAGCAGCCTGGGCCATTTAACGTATGGACAAAGGCTTTCATTATCCCCCAAGAGCAGCTCCATAAAATACAGGACAACGTAGTGAATGATATTTTTAAAAAGAGTCATGTCATATTCAAGATATTTTGCAACAAAAGCAAGATTCAATATAACAGAATCCTAGAGTTTAAAAGGTAGGAGATCCTTAAGGGAACACTTTTATTCTACAAATAAGGAAACTGAATATAAAGGGATGATTCTGAGACAGGAGCCCAGCCTAAGGGGTACAGGGCTCCTTCCACAGGGACATCTTCACAGCTAGAGCAACTGCGGGGAAGGAAGAGATTGCATCACATTTCTTGTGCCATTGCTTTTGACATCTCTGTTTTTGCTTCCTTGCATTGGTATCACTCCCTTCAAAAGGAGAAGAAACCTGCTCTCTTTATTCACAAAAGAGTGAACTATTGTTCCCTGGTTTGTGATGAGAGAACCTCAGGCTTGGCCCTTAACAAAATTGGGATTGAAGGTAAAGTTTACTTTGAGCTCCCTCCTACATCCACCTACATCCCATTCCCAGGGTGTTTCCTGAGACTGTCTTATGTCTGTCCTCCAACTGGCTGCCCCACCCACTAACCCTACACCCAGAGTTCCCAGCCAGAAGAAAAAACTGCCAACTCCCAGAAGTTTGATGTAATCTCAGTCTCTTTCTAATTTGACCTCTAATTATATCAAAGAATGAAGCAATGTTCTAGTGTGTTTTTCTTTTAAATATAAGCAAGCACAAGTATCACCTGGAGAGCTTATTAAAACACCAATTTCCCCTGAAATTAGAATTCAGTGGATGATTCTAGCAGAAGTGGACCCCAAACCCTCTGTGCAAAACACTTTTTGCTTAACTGTCCAGCCTCGTCTCCTCCTAATACGCTCATGCGCATTGTCCTCCACCCCAATATTCCATCCTGTCTTCCCTCCATGTCTTTGCCTCATGTTCTACCTTCTTCATCCAGTTAACTCTTCCATATACCTCAAAACCAGCTGAGCCTCACATCTCTTTCTCATTATTCCCATACACTCCCACATTATCAAGCTTATCAGGCCTACCAAGTGCTCTGACTCCCTGGCATATCTCTCCTTAAAGGTAGGGACATGCATCACTTGTCTTTCCTGTTTCCAAAATTTAGCACTCTACCACACACTGTAAAAGTATTTGTTAAATTATTTTTTGCATATGGTAATTTTCCTTATTAGTAACCATTCATTTATATTTGCATTTTATCTGCCTACTTGAAACAATAAAGAATTTTCATAGATTGATTAAACCATCACTTTCAAATGAAGAGCATCTTCCATAACCTGTACAAACTGACATAGAAGAATGATATTGCACAATATGACGCTGGTCCATGGTGGAGGTCACACTGATTCTGACCCAAGTGCACCAGGATATCTGCCACCTAAAGAACTCAACAGAGTCCACACAACAAATGACAGTTTTTCTAAATAAGGGTCAAATTCTTGTAGTTCATTAAAACTAGCTCTAATTGCCCTCCCAGGCATTAGAGTTAAAAGGTTTTGAGGAAATATGGTTGGAAGTGATTGGAATTGGGCTAGAATTGATTCATACACAGTCACATGTCACATAATGATGTTTTGTTCAATGATACAACACATATGTGACTGTGGTTCCACAGTATTATAATGGAGCTAAATATTCCAGCAGACCAGTGCCATCATAGCTGTCATAGCATTGCCATGTCTAGAGTGCAACATGTTCCTCAGATGTTTGCGGTGACGTCAATGTAAACAAACCTGCTGCACTCCCATTAATATAAATGTACAGTGCATAGAATTGTGAACGGTACATAACAGTGGATAATGGAAACAAATGGTTATGTCACTGGCTTATGTATTTATCATACTATACCACTTACAGTTATTTTAGAATGCACTCCTTCTACTTATTTAAAAAAAAAGCTACTGTAAAATAGTCCACTGTGTTGGGCTGGCACTAGCCTCATCCACCTCAGGTTTCTCTTGCTGCATCTCTTGCTTGGATTATTTTCTCTTGTGCTTGTTTTATTCATTATGACCCTCGCAGAGAGAAGCCATGTCATATACAGTTAGGTGTGTAGCAGGCATTCCATCTAGGTCTGTGCATTGCACTTTATGAAGCTCACACAGAGATGAAATTGCTTAACACGTTTCTCAGAACACAGTCCCGTCATTAAATGACATGTAACTGTATGTAAAACTTTGTGTATTTATTCTAAGAGCTCAGAAATACCCAATATTTTCTACCCAAGAAAAATAGTCCTTCTACCCAAGACTCTTACCTACCAAGAAGCTAGGTCATCTCTTAAAGACTACCATTTGCGTATGTTTGTTTCCTGCAGGAGTGTGCTATGCAGAATTTGGAGTCCGAGTTCCCAAGACCACAGGATCTGCCTACACCTACAGCTACGTCACTGTTGGGGAATTCGTGGCATTTTTCATTGGCTGGAACCTGATCCTGGAATACCTGATTGGCACTGCAGCTGGCGCCAGTGCTCTGAGCAGCATGTTTGACTCACTGGCAAATCACACCATTAGCCGCTGGATGGTGGACAGCGTGGGGACCCTCAATGGCCTGGGTGAGACTGTTACATCCTCTCCCCCACATGCAAACTTACTGAGCCAAATGAATGGGCTCCCCTTTAAAAATCCAAAGTGTCAAGAACTTTGAGTGATGCATTTTTGTCTTTTCAATGTAATTTTTCATCCTGAGGAAATTATTCTAATTGCCATGGAAGGGTTATGCAAACTATTATACAAAAGCTGTTCATCACACAATCATCACAGCCTTGTTTAAAGAGGTTTATCTGAAAGGCTTGGGACCAGAATTTTGGATTTTTTCAGACTTAGAAATACTTACTCATATATAATGAAATTTGGAGACGAGATCCAAATCTAAACAAAAATTTGTGTATGTTTTATATACATAGCCTAGACATCTTTTTATTCAATATTTTAATGTATACATGAAATAGAGTTTCAAAGTATAGGTTTTTTTCACAGGTGGCATCACATCTCCACTCAAAAAATTTCAGATTCTGGAGTATTTCAGATTTCAGATCTTCAGATTACAGATGCTCAATCTCTAATAAAATAAATTAGAACTAGCCTAAATATTCTTCAGTGTGGCAAATAATTAACTAAATTATGGATATATATTATGTATCTAGGAACTCAAAGGATGATTAAGGAAGACTGTATAATAACATGGAATATGTTTTAACCTAATATCATGTATCAAAGAATGCAAATGATTCTGTGCATATACCATGTCAATAACCATATAAAAATAAAACCAATGCAGGAAAAAGAAGTAGAAGAAAATTCTCAAGTGGTTTCATTTCAATTTTTTGCAAATTTTTATAAATAAGCATATATTAGCTTTTAAATTGAAAATATTGAGGAACAAAATGGATTCCTGGTAAGCAGAAGTCAAGGATGATAATATTACTGATGGAACGCTAAACAATCAGAAGCCCATCTAAACTACCAGGACACCTCAGGCTCTATCTGCCCCTTTCCACCCACTTTCTATTCTGATGTCCGGTGCTACCTTTTCATATCCATGAGAAGCTAACCAATAGTTGAGGGAGCTTTAGAATTTTCCTCAGAAATTCCAGAGAATGATTTCGTGGTTGTGAAAAGTCCTTTGACTTCAGTATCTCTACCTCAGAACAATTGACAAAAATACTGAGTATCCAAATATCGTGACAGTATGAAAAGTATGAAAACCACCCCTCTATGGGATACTGATTTCATAAAATGGCCTAGAATTAGGTTGTCCTTCTCTTTAACTTTACAGATGAAATCCAAAACGACGAGGAAACACTGAAAACCACCCTGCTGCCTACAGGCAAAAGTACAGCAGAAATTCAAGTTGCTTGACTGCTGTGGCATGCCTTTTCCACCCTATAGAGGGCAGGATTCCACTAGCCAATGGGCAAGATGAGGCAAGCAGGACCCGCTGGCCAGTCACTTATTCTGGGCAACCACGTGCACACGAATGAAAGGAAAACCTTCTTACAATGGTTTTCAAAGACACACATTTTAGAAGTGAAGAAAAACAAAACTTTTTGGAATGCAATGGAAATTTTACAGACCATGAAATTAACAACATTGAAGATAAAAACATTTTCAAAGGACATGTTAGACCTATGCATACATCCTGAGTATCCCAGAACAGACCATTCTTCAAATGCTCCGTGCCATGTTCCCATAGGTGCTGTTGTAACCGTTATATTACATATCCCAATTTTTGGCCCAGAATATCAAATCCTCTTACTTATCTTCCTAGCCTGCCTGTTTACAAATAGATACGTAGGCATGTACACACTCACACAGAGTTTTGTGTCCTGTCTGACAGATTGACCACTGCTCTGAGAGTCAGAATTGAAAGCAGATACCTTGAGATGAAATGAGGAGTTTGCATTCTTTCTCTCCCCACTGAACAGTACTAAATCTTGCCCTTCTCTTCCAGGGAAAGGTGAAGAATCATACCCAGACCTTTTGGCTCTGCTGATTGCAATCATTGTGACCATCATTGTTGCTCTGGGGGTGAAGAACTCCGTGGGCTTCAACAACGTCCTCAACGTGCTGAATCTGGCCGTGTGGGTGTTCATCATGATTGCAGGCCTCTTCTTCATCAATGGGAAGTACTGGGCTGAGGGCCAGTTCTTGCCCCATGGCTGGTCTGGGGTGAGTTCATCTTACAGCCTGGTGTACCTGTCACATACTGTGTCTTCCACCTGCCACTATCTAGCACCGGTCTTTCAGTGGTCTTTACCCTCTTGATCATTTTAATCTGGATTTAACTGAAAAAGAGGTTCTTTTTTTAATTTACCTGTTTCACAAGCAGGTGTTGAAATCTTATTTTACATGAACAACAGCAATAGATTCTATGTTGTGGCCTCTTGCAGTAGGTCTAACACTGTATCAAGTACTTTAAATATAAAATCTAATTGAATCAATCTGAATTATCTTAGGAGGAAAACACTACATTCATTTCTTAAATTGAAAAAAAAAAAAAAACTCAGACAGGTCAAATGAATAACCACAAAGCATAAACTATAAGTGGCAGGACAAGTCTGTTACACTCCAAAGCCTTACAAGAACAGCTCTTTTTCGCAGAATTGCTTTGTACCCCACAAGGAGAATCTGGCATGTACATAAATAGGTAAGGCAGGAAAGGAAACCAGGAGTGGAGGGGTACAAAACTAGAGAAAGGATAGTTTTAAGTAAAAGCATGTGAGCCCTGAGAGGAGAATCCTGCTGGGTCTGGGGGCACCCGAGCAGACTCAATGAAGGCTGACCAGAAATCCTATTCCTGGCCTTATTTACAGCAAGAAGTCAGTATAATTTGTTCTGGAGTTTGGCAAGAGGGTGTCCTGGAGCAAAAGAACATTTTCAGATCTCATCCACATGATATGGTTGTATGGATTATGCTGATGAAAAATGGTGCCAGGCATAGTAATACAGGCCTGTAATCCCAGCTACTCAGGAAGGTGAGGCACGAAGATCACATGTTTGAGGCCATCTTAAGCAACTTAGCAATACCTTGCCTCAAGGTGAAACTGGAGTGGGGGTGAGAGAGCCAGGGATATATACAGTTCAGTGGTAGAGGCACTTTCCCAGCACAAGCGAGCCCCTGGGTTTAAACCTCGGCATCACAAAGGAAAAGAAAAATGGGAAGGTCAGAGTGGCAAATTCTTTATATTTACAAGTGGTTCTAAGTTGTGACTGGTTTATTTCTCCAGTATGACTAAAAATGCTTATTTTATGGGTTTATCAGTAAAAATCACCAGCCATTTTTCTGTGACAGTAGTACATAAATTAGAGAATTTTCAGCTGACAGGGGCCTGAGTGGTCCCATGGTCCTATCCCCTCATTCAACAAATGAGTGAATCACCAGAGGCCAAGAAAGGCAAATCAGCCTAACACTGGGGCAGAAGGAAAGCACAGGATCCCACTTGCTTTGTTTTTGTGGCTTTTGCTTAGACTGATTTTCCTCCAAGATGTCCAGGGATCAGAACTGTCTCTCAGAGAACACTCAAAATCTTTATTCTGACCCATGCCATGCTGTTCAGTGCAAAGAAATATGGAAAGTATTGAAGCTTTTAAAAAATTCTAGCCTTCTGCTTATCCCAAAGAATTCCAAAGAACCACAAAGTTCATCCCTCTTCTCTGAAAGGAATATGTACTAAGCCTGATTAAAATCAGAAGAAACAAAGAAACACTGTTGATCCCACTCTGAATCCCCATGTCTATATTTTCTTACGATACAAATTGTTCCTTTCCTATCACATAAGAGAAAGAACAAATTATAAGAGTGAGAAGAAAGAACGTTTTCTTGGAACACAACTGCATTTTTATTGTAGCACATGAAAATGTTCTCACTATTTTCTCAACAATGTAAGAAATTACTGGGTCATGGACTTACTGTAAGACTTTGGACATCAGTTAATTTCTATATTTCAGGCTTTTTCATCTATCAAGTGGGAAAACAAACTACACAAAATACTTGCCAAAAAACACAGAATCTTGGCTGTTTTATGTGCATTGTTAGAGCTGGTGATAGTTACAATGTCAAGAGGGAGGAGCTAATATTCACTGACTACCCGCTTAGGTGCTCTGTGAATATTATCTCACTTTCAAAGCACACCCTAAGGGCAGGTGATGTTATTCTCAATGTGGAAATAGAGATGCAGGGGTCAGAGAGTCTTGGTGACCTCCACATCTCACTTAGCCAGTCAGTGCCACAGCTGAAGTTTTGACCCAGACCGGTGGTACACCAAAAACCTTTCTACTTTACTCAGTATTCCATGCATGGTATGATGACCCCTTCCTTTTAAGCCTTCTTAAACATAAAGTAGTGAATCTGATGTGTTATACTTCCTTTAAACTTTCACAAAATTTTAGAATCTAAGAGCTCGAGGTAACATTAAAAGATAACACAGCCCTTTTCTTATCTTCAAATGGCAATATGATTAGACCAACCCAGGGTGAGTTGCTTATGAAGGCATCTTGTCAAAGCAATTATTCATCTCATTTATTCTGTTCACATTTAATCTTCAAAATCCTCCCAGTGGCTCCTCTAATGGCTCCGCCTGTAATTTAGATCCCAAAAGAGGCTAGAAGAGTTAGCATCCTCTGCATAAATGCCTTTCCCAAAATTTGAAGAGGATGAACAATTCAGTTAGACTTGTCCTTCACCTGGGGGGGTCTTTATTTTCTCAGGGTGTTTGCCCTTCCTTTCCAAGGACTGCATCTCCTTCCCTGACCAGAGGCCACTTCATCAAGGAAAGAGTAGTCACCTAGCCTTGGGGCTGCCCATTTATGCATCCTGGGTTCCCACTAGCTTTTGTAACAAAAGATTAGAATTGAGCCATAAAAAAGAAAGAATATTTTAACATTTTCTTTGTGACAGACTCTTTCATATACATTTTTATTTAATCCTCACAAAAGTTCTCCAAAATAAATACAGAGATCTCCACTTTTACACCAAAATACACGTTCAGCTTTCATGTCATTTTGACTTTGGGGCAGACCAAGAAGTTGCACAGTGCCAGATCTGGTGAGTAAGGTGATGATGACACATATTTCTATGGGCTTGCCTTTTGGTTGCATATGGCAGCACCATTTACTGTATTTTTTATCACACCTTGTAAAAACACAAAAGGTCTTCCAGAACTGTTTAGAAAGTGGCATGAGCAATGGGATAAGTGTGTATGGAGAAAGGGCGAGTGTTTTTGAGGGAGACTGATGGCAATGTGTCTTTTACTGTAATAATTATTTTTAATTTGAACATTCACTATATATTTTTGTCAGCCCTTGTAATGATGTTTAAAAAATTTAAGATCACATATCTAGACTGGAAGTAACAATTAAAATTTGATCCTGGCCCTGGATGACCCAAAATCTGTATTTACTCCACTACCCCCAAGGGACCAGTTATCATTTGTTTGTCTGCTTTGTTTGTTTGCTTGTTGGTTTGTTTTTGCACCTTTGGCCATGGGTCTCACTCTAACCCACAACTATCATGAGTAGTTTTGTCCTTGTCTTTGAAAAGAATGTGTTTAGGATTTGGATTGTCAGTAAAACCCATTATTCTGAAAGAAATTCAACTGCATGTCCTGATGGCTGCAACTGAAAGTATCATCTGAGCACGAAGGACAACCCAGTGTGGTGCTGATTCATCCACCCTGCTCTCTGCCTGGCCTTGGATTTCTGCACAGTATATTTCCTCGCCAGTGAAATCATCCAGCCCTCTTCTCTCTCAGCTTTAGTTCCAGGTCACCTTTCCAGTCCAGCAAGGGCACTGTGGATTTAAATCCTGTTTTTTAAAGCCTGAGACCTTCTCATGAGCATTGCCAGGGTAATAAACATATTTCCCACCCTTACCTAAAAAATATCAACAAAAGCTTGCTCCTTTTTTGGCAGTCACATGGACTTCTTCACTCCTTGGGGAAACTCTGACCCCTACTGCTGACTCAGGGTCTCATACAGCGTTCCAATCCAATCTGTTTTCCAATCACTTTAGGTAGGATAGGATAGAGAAACCCAGAGTGTAGAGCACTGTTTATAAGGATACCATTATATAACTGTAAACACGTACAGTACTTTGAAATGGTTAATGAACAATCAGTCTTCTGGCAATGGAGCCCTCACAAACCTACTCTTTCCCTGGCTCCAACCATTTCCTTCCAAAGAAAATAGTGTAAGGAATAGTTTACTCGCTTACAAGTTCTGGGTCAAATGTTTCTTTGGTCCTGAAGAGCTTAAGAACAACAAACATTTTCCCTATATCAAGTAACTCTGGCCCTCAGCTGAACCCCTGCTTCCATCTGCAACTGCTCAGCCCCTGAACACTGCTGGATGTGTGTGCCCTTTATGTTATTTGTTCTTGATGCTATCTTATGGTTTTTCTTTAACCAAATAAGACACTCTAGTGCACAAATAGCCCCCAGAAAACAGTCCAAACAAGCATTTTTGGAAAATTCAGACACTCTTCAAACAAAGGAAAAGTTGTTTTTCATGTTCCTCACATCTGACTCCATTTGTTGGAAGCTTTTATCACATTCCACTGTCACTGTGGACAGGCTGCTAATAGAGATGGGGTAACAAGGTGGTTGAAAATGCTATTAAAGTTGGAGATCTGTCTTGTTACCTTGGGAGTGAATTATGTAAAAGTGCCTAATTATGTCCTAGGCATCTGACAGGCTGGCCAAGAGAGAATGTAGGAGGGCTGCCTCATCCTAATGCCTCTCAAATATCAGCAAGGCACAGGAGCCAGCTTTTAGAGACCCCACACACTGATCAGCAGGCCATTGATGATATTACTTTTGCCAGCTAAGTACCCAGCAGCCTTCCAGTAACTGAGGCATGGGCTGTTCCTCCATAAAGATCTTAGAGGGATGGACCTTTCTACATCACCTGATATAACACGAGATGTACTTTGGGAAATGATTTTAGCATTGCTATCATATTTAAAACTCAATACTATTTTAAGTATTAAAACAGCAAAAGAAAGAGTTAGCCTATCTTCCCAGGGAACCCAGAAACTACATACACTTCCATATAAGCATATAGGGGTACACACACACACACACACACACACACACACACACATCTCGCCCTCCAATTTGATTCACAAATGCTCATCTCTAAGGACCACACATCCTTTCACACATGTAATGGAATCCTAATCCTAAATACCAGTGACCAGATCTGAGACCTGGCGAGAGCGCTATGGAAGACAGGGATTATTCGGGTTGGGACACATAAAGGGTTTCATTTCATGGCTTTTCTGTATTTACTATTTGTTATAAAGAGCAAACCTCATTAGAATTAATCCAGGTACAAAGGTGATCTCTCTTGCTAACCTTGTCCTGTCATTGGTCATCTGATTAATCTGGATTAGGCTGGGTGTGCTTGACCTTGGTAGGTGTGCTCTTCTTCCCCCACTGCCTTCTCCACCCAGCTTCGTGCTCTGGGCTGTGCTCCCCAAGACCCCTTGCTGTTGCTTCTGGTCGGGTGTAGCCAGTTAAAGTTCTAGTTGGTCAATCAGAAGATGAGAAGAAACAAAGCTAGAAGATTTCTTTCTTCCTCTCTGCCAGCCCTGGCACCACACCGGCCATTGCTCCTCCTGCGCAGCTCTGCTCCACCTCTGCAGTTCTTGTTGGACTCTAAGACCACCATTTTGCCCCATTCCTTGGCAGAAAAATGACGTCAGCTTGTCACTGTCTCAGAATCCCAGCTGAGGCCCTCACCCTGCCAATATCCTGGCCAATACCTGCCTATAGACCCTTTGTGAACATCATTTCGTTTGAATCCTCTGAGTTAAATTCTGTTGACTGTTTGGTTCAGCAGAGTTTCCAGATGTCCTACCTGTGCCTTATGCAGTCTTTTTTCAACTATAATTTCTTCCGAGTTCTACATATGCAAATTCAGGCTAGCATGCATCCTTTTTACACACTGAGTTCCCCCTTTTCCAGCTTGGTAGTAGTTAATTTTCTGCTATCTAATTATTATCAGTAATTTTCAATGCTTTGTTTCTTTTATTTAGGAAACAGAAGCACTGTGTTTTGCAAATAATATAGATACTATACCTATAAATTTGGTTCAGTTTGTTACCATAGTCAGTGTTACATTTGGGGTCTGGTAGTATTTTTCCAGACTCCAAGCTCTACAAGGCCAAGCTCAGAGTACTTTATTATTCATGACTCTCTCCCATTACCAAGCACAGTACCTGCAATGTAATATATACATGGCAAGTTCCAAATGAGGAGGAGGGTAGGAAGGGGAAAAAGAAGTGCAACATAGAGAGGAGGAAGAGTTTGTACCTTGGGTTTTATCTCCTCTATAAAATGTATCGATAGCAATTATAAAACTACAGGTTAAAGCTAATATTTATTGAGTACCTATTGCATTTGGAGAGTGCAGTTTTCCATATTATCTCACGTAATCCTTGTAACAACCCTATGATCCAAGTGCTATTATTACCTCCATTTTAGTGATAAAGAAACTTAAGCTCTAAGAGATTAAGAACTTGTGCTAGGTTACAAAGCTAATATGTGGCAGGACCAACCTTGGTTTGACTGTCTACAAAGTCTACACTCCTAGAAATCCTAATCCCACCTCCAAGAATGGCTCTGGGATCCATGACTCTGCCAGTACTTCAGATATTTGAAGGTAACTTCTACTGAGTCTTCTGCTCTTCAGAGTAGTCATCCTGGGGTCACCTATTATTCCTCATGTCATCTGGATCACAGACTTCTCACCTTTTTAAAAGAATAGATTTGCCCCTAACCTGCCTGTTTTTTTAATCGTGTCCCTGTGTGATTTACAAGAGGGGTGTGGGTAGGTTGTGTGTGTCTGTGTGTGGTAGAGAAGAGAAATTTTAAAGGAAGAGGACACAGGATCTGCTTTCTGGAATCTGTGTTAGCGCAAGGCTGCCCTTGATCAGCCTGCAACACAACAGCATGTAATATATATGTGTCAAGCTCTAAATGAAGCTTAGTGAGCTTGGAATCCCAGCATCTGTGCATCTTTGAAGATCACTGACAAGTATAAGCCTACAAAGCTCTTTGTATGACAAAGTGAGGTCTGTTTTCTTTCCTTCTCAGCACCAAAGACGTGTTCCAGAGCCTGATGCAAAGGGCTTTCTTAAAGGGGAAGTAGGAGGCCCTCTTCTCTTCCAGAAAGTAGCCCCTAGAAGATGGAGCTACTTATGTTAGAGAAGTTCTTTCTGTCTGCTTTACTAGAACAGACCAGGAGTTCTTAATATTTTGGTGCCATAGACTCCTTTCCACCCGATGAGACTTGTGAACCCCTTATGGTCCTCATGACAGAATAACAATGTACTTCTTTATTAGTATTTAAATACCATTGTCTATGTCTATTACCTGTTATGATTTGAAGTAGTGCCATTAATAATGAAAGAACTGCTAACATTCCATTAGAAGTTAGTGAAAATAAAAATGTTGTTATCTTCCAGAAAAAGTCACAGTCACACGCCTCTCAATGCCACTGACCCTGGGATAAGAAACCCTAGGTTAGGGGACTGAAATATCAGAATCTCAGCCAGGAGGGACTGTAGAGGAGACCAGCTCATTTTACAGATGGGCAAAAGTTGCTTTTTGAAGGTTTGATGCAGTCTTCAACTTGTGATGTAAAAATACTGTACTTTGGGTTTTCCTTATGGAGAAGTCAGTGGGGAAGGTGCAAGTGAAATCTTTGGACAAGTATCTGCTTGGCACATGCTTTGAACACAACTATATATAAAGTGAATATAGGGTAAAGAGGGAAAATATCTACAATGGCCCTTCTCTCCTGGCCTCCTATAGAGTTTACAGTTTACCCCCTACCAAGTACACACATATTGTTTCCTACAAAGACATCCCCAAGCATTTAAAGAGAAACGTATTCTACTTTCATGATAATAAGATAATACCAAGGTGGAAAAGATGCAGGTGAACTTTAATAGATTCTTTAGAGGAAAACAACACACTACATAATGGAAGATTTTCACTGACATCTTGACATGAAGAGCCAAGGCCCTGGGAGCCACAGAGGCTCCTGGCAGACACACATGCAGCAGATGTTACTGGATACCACCTCCCCAGCTTTATTCTCACTGTCTGCCTCATGCCCAACTTGGTTGTTCAAACCCTTAAAAGGAGCAGAAAACCTAACTCTTTCTCTACTCTGTTTACCCTTTGAAGGAAATAGAGTATCTAAAGAGCTGAAAATCTTTTCAATCTGGAAGGTACCACAGAGACGTCTATCAGAGGCACTAACATAATTTTTGGTGAGACAAGTCTTTGTACAGAAGTATCTGAGTCCTCTCCACTAAATGCTGGAAGCTCCCAGCCCATGTCTCCAGGGCAGTCAAAACTGTCTCCACACATTTCCAAATATCCCTTAAGCAAGTCATGCGTCCTGTGCTTGTGTTTGAGAACCACTGAATGAAAGCAAAGTGCAAGAAGGTTAATAAGTTCCCTAAGACATGGCCAACTACTGGTTTGTTTATACCCCACTTATTTAAAAAAAGAGAGAGAGAGAGAGAGATGAGTGCACTGAATGACTCAATTATTTATTTGGCCATAAAAATTTTTATCTCCATTTGACATGAGAGATAATTGTCTAGGCTCACACAGCTAGAAAGGAAAGATGAGCCCTTGGGTGTTCAGCACTAACTCTACCACTCTATCCTCTCTGCCGCTCAATGTCTGCAGGCAATGAGCAGTCATGGGTGTCACATCTAAGACCCTGTGCTGCTCTGGCCTTCTGAGCCTGATAAATACCATCATCCATACAGGTGCTGCAAGGAGCAGCTACATGTTTCTACGCTTTCATTGGCTTTGACATCATTGCCACCACTGGGGAAGAAGCCAAGAATCCTAACACGTCCATACCCTATGCTATCACCGCCTCTCTGGTCATCTGCCTGACAGCATATGTATCTGTAAGTAGCATGTGTTGAAGGGACTCTTCCCATATCCTTTTTATATTTGATCTTAAAATATAGTTCAAGGACTATATCCCCTCCTCTAAGGAGAAGTAGGGCTTTCCTTATGCCTTTTTGGTTTCTGTATGATTGTGTCTTGTGCCCCAATAGCTCCATCTATCAATGATAGGAAGAAACTCTTGACTCCAAACTGGAGAGGAGAATCAGTCCCAGGCCCTTGATTCAGCCTTAGGCTCTGAATCTCCATTCTTGCCCCTCCCTGTGTCCAGGCTCTGGGTGTGGGATGCTGCCCCAAGAGATGTTGGACAGAGAAGGGCTGCTGTCCAAGAAGCTCAGGTCATAGGCTGGCAGTAACGGGTGGCATGCAAGCAGAGGCATTGTGGCCTCTGCACACAGCCCTCAATGCTCCTCTGTCTTCTGGGAGCTTCCCAGCAGTGAAGAGGCAAGGCTCCCACAGAGTGGGGAGAGAGAATACATTGTCCTCTGGAGACTCTCTTTCCCTTAAAATCTTGGGGCAAATGCACTTTCTTTCCACTGTTGCTCTGACTTTTTACACCAGCTCAAACTCATCACTGGGGTTTCCCTGCCTCAGGCAGCCCTCAGAATGAAGCCTTCAGCCTTGTCTACTCAGGATCTCCTGAGATTCTCCTCCATACACATTTGATGTTTCATTTCTCAGGTCCCATGCCAGAATTTCTATCACAGAAATAGTTCAGCCACATCCAACACCCTGTCAGCCCTGGCAATAGAGAGAACAAGCTGATGAGCCTCAAGTGTATGATCATGCACACACTTGCATGCACATATATGTGCGTGCACATGTGCACACACACGCACACACACACACACACACATACACGCACAGATCTGAAGGGCCCTACCTGCTTGGGTCATCACAGTCTGCAGCACAGCACCGCTGCCATTCCTCTTCCCAATCATCCTCAGCAACTAGCTAAGGGAGTCAGGCGAACTAATGGTTAAGATAGGCTACAAAGCAGGATTGTTCCAAAAACTAAACAAAAACTTCAGAGAGTAGCTTCAGAAGTGATTGATAGAAATTCAGTTGCACACCCAGACATTTCATGGATGGATCAATCATCACCTCTCTGTGTGCACACATGCATGGGCTTCATCCTGTCCCCGTCCTGATTACCCCTGCTGCAGAGGAGGGCCTTTGCAGTACATACACGCACACACATGCAGACAAGAGAGGCCACCCTCACGGTTCTTTCCTTAGAGCAACACTTTAGAGGATACAGTGAATCCTGTCTACCAACTTTTTCTCCAACCTGGTCTAGCATGACAGTAGACCGAGTCTGGTTTATTAGAATTATCAAGCCCACTCTCCTCCGGGTTAGTCTGCCCCTTCCCTAAAAGAGATGTCACAAATGCTCTGTCCCTGGGAAATGGTCTCTTTTAGACTACACGGACCTTAACTGTGCCTCAGGAACGGTTTGGTCTTTGTACTGCTCAGCAGGCAACCACTCTATCCCCACGAAAAGAGCCAAATTGTTGGGTTGTGATGCTAAACCCTGCTCTCTTCCCTAATGGCCCATGGCTTCCTGGGGTCATCTTGGCTGCCAAGGCACAGGCAAAGAAGTGGTTCACATATGACCACCCTCGCCCTTTCAAATTTTAGACTCTCTCCTTTATATCAGGATTGGTCTTCACAGACCTGGGAAAGCTCCGTACCTGGCCACATCACTGGTTGCTCCACTATCTGGAATTAATTCTAAAGAGGGGAATGTTAGGGAGGTCTATGAATTTGAAGGAAGAGATGGCCTGAGGGCCCCAAGCCAAAAGTTCCCTGGTTTAGCAAACCACGGTGGTCTTACAGCTCCAGAGTGGGATTGGGTTCCACCCTGATGTCATAATTCCTTTGTTGGCCTGCTTAACCCTCAGGATTAAGCTAGAAAGAAATGGAAATATGAGTCCCGATTGGGGTCTCATCAGTTGACTGACTGTGGACCCCCTAGGTATTTACTTTGGAAGTTTTAATGTCTGGTGTTTGAAGTAAGAGAGAGTACAGATAAGACCCTGACCCTGAAGGACCCTGAGGGAATAAAAGAAATGAGAATCTTGTCTTCATGGACAGGGTGTCCATGGTCACTTCTAGGCACGGCCAGCGCTCTTCCCATCTGTTAATGTCACACCCCAGTGCACTGCCAGGGTAGCTCTGTTTTCATGGGATTGAAGTATCTGCAGACTTTGTTCTTCAGACCTGAAACGACCACGTGCAGTTTTTAGAGATTATCTTCACTAGTCCGCTAAAGTCCCATGTGGAAAGAAAACATGGAGGTCAAGAGCTCCAAAGACCAAATGACTAGTCTAACAAAGCCACATGCCAGCTGATGGCAGAGCACTTTCCTCCTCTACAGGCCATCTGTCCATGCAATCAGTCCCCTCTACCTGCAGTCATGTCTTCTCTTGTTTTAACAGGTGAGCATGATCTTAACTCTGATGGTGCCATATTATGCCATTGACACTGAGTCCCCACTCATGGAGATGTTTGTGGCTCATGGCTTCTATGCTGCAAAATTCGTAGTGGCCATCGGGTCAGTTGCAGGATTGACAGTCAGCTTGCTGGGCTCCCTCTTCCCGATGCCCAGGGTCATTTACGCCATGGCTGGTGATGGGCTCCTTTTCAGGTAAGGGCTATGCTCTGTGAAATGTGTTCCACTCTGCTGCACCTGTCAAGGATGACTGTCACCCACTGTCAGCCTAGCGGTAATTTTGATGGGTGCCTTTCACATCAACTGCAGAGCTTGTCAGATATCCTAGGAGAGTTTGAGTGAAAAGAGCTACACCCTGAAATAGCCCCTCAGTTTGACTCAGTCCCTCAATCCAGCACCAACTGATACATTCCCCCAATTGCTTCTCCCCTCTTTGGCATTGTGTTTTGCTTGTGAAGGCAGTGGGTGCCAAACTGTTGCACAGGAGAAGGAAGAATCTGTCACAGGTGTGTTTTATTCCTCCACTTCTGTGAGCCCTGGTACCTGCTCCTCTCTCCACAGCTCCTCTAAAGTTGAAAAGAAATCAACAATTAGAAAGCGAATAAGACCCTCTGAACAGAATGAAGTAATTGTAGCAACAATAGCTACATTTATTGAACATTTGTGTATCCTGGGTGCTTTGTATACAGTATCCCATTTAGTCCTCACAATAACTCTATTTTGCAGATGAGTGTACCAGGAATTAGAGGGGTAAAAACATCTTGCCCTAAATCCTCCAGCTGCTGAATGACAGGCCAGTATTTAAAACTAAAGCTATCTGACTTCAAAAAACAGACTCTTAACCATACCAATATATTGACAGTTCTAACCCCCTACCTTGGCCATGCTGGGACCACTGTGTGCAGTTGTTACACCTCCATCACTGCAGCCCTTTCTTGGTCTCTTCACCTGGTCACCTGCTCATGGTGTAAAGGGATATGGCCACATCTCTTGGTACCCAGTGCCTGCCCAGAAAAGACAAGGTAGGGAGCTCTCAGGAGTGCAGAGGGAGCTGGCTCAGCGACTTATCTGTTCCACTAGCTGTCATCATCTGCTTCATTTCCTCTGCATACCCCTTGCAGTCTTCAAAGGTCGAAGCTGCCACATCTGTGTTGTTGAGCATATCAGTAGATGGGTATCATGCCGGAAGTGTGATAGCTTTGCACACCCAAAGGCTTTTCTGTTGTCAAAGAAAACAAAGAGGAAAGATGCTAAAGCTTCTAGCAAATTTACAGTTCTTTGTGAATCATAGAAATGAGGGAAGAATGGAAGAGGATGGCGTTGGCAGAGCAGGAGAGGAAGGGAGGGGAGGCTCCTTAAGGAGAGATGCCTGCTATTTAATCGTGTTGTTCATCTTTTCTTCTTCAGATGTAACTAGGTGACTAAACTTAGCCCTGAGTACAGATTCATAACTTTTGTACTATTTTGTCAATTAAATCTTTGTATTTTTGTTGTGTGTATCATGGCAGTGTGTATCAAGTTTTTGAAAGCTTTGGAGACATTTTAATGCTGGGCACCACTGCCAGAGATCTTGATGTAATAGATCCTGGGTGAAACCTGAGAATATACATATTTCCAACAAGCTAACACTGGTGCTGCTGCTGCAGATTCACAGTTTTAAAGGCTCCCAAGCAGGCTATGACTTCCTCATGCCATCCTTTTTCACAGAAAGCCTTGGACTGCAATTTAGATCTCTAACAGATCTCCTAAATTCACTCCTCTCCTCCTATCACATAATGAGTAGGAACTTTAATAAGGAAGCTTGCCTCAAACCAGGGAATTTAAGTGAATTCTAAATTATATTCTAGGAGCCCAACTCTGGGGTAGGAATAGCAGTCAGTTAAAGGAGTGTGCAGAAATAAATTGGAGGGGCAGGACCAGAAAGAGCTAAATACATCCACCTGTTGACATTTGGTCCCCTAGCTTGGCCACATCAGAATCCGTCACCATCTGTGACACATCACTGACTGTCTGCTTACACCTGCCCTCCAGGTTCCTGGCTCACGTAAGCTCCTACACAGAGACACCCGTGGTGGCCTGCATCGTGTCAGGGTTCCTGGCCTCTCTCCTCTCACTGTTGGTCAGCCTGAGAGACCTGATAGAGATGATGTCCATTGGCACGCTCCTCGCCTACACCTTGGTCTCTGTCTGTGTCTTGCTTCTTCGATACCAACCTGAGAGTGACATTGATGGTTTTGTCAAGTTCTTGTCTCAGGAGCACACCAAAAAGAAGGAGGGCATTCTGGCTGACTGTGAGAAGGAGGCTTGTTCTCCTGTGAGTGAAGGGGAAGAGTTTTCTGGCCCAGCCACCAATACTTGTGGGGCCAAGAACCTGCCATCCTTGGGAGACAATGAGATGCTCATCGGGAAATCAGACAAGTCAACCTACAACGTCAACCACCCCAACTATGGCACTGTGGACATGACCACAGGCATAGAAGCAGATGAATCTGAGAACATTTATCTCATCAAGTTGAAGAAGCTGATTGGACCCCGTTACTACACCATGCGAATCCGGCTAGGCCTTCCAGGAAAAATGGACCGGCCCACAGCAGCAACAGGACACACAGTGACCATCTGTGTGCTCCTGCTCTTCATCCTCATGTTCATTTTCTGCTCCTTCATCATCTTTGGTTCTGACTACATCTCAGGGCAGAACTGGTGGGCCATCCTTTTGGTCATTCTAATGGTGCTGCTGATCAGCATCCTGGTGTTCATGATTCTACAGCAGCCAGAGAACCCCAAGAAGCTGCCCTATATGGCCCCCTGCCTCCCTTTTGTGCCTGCCTTTGCCATGCTGGTGAATATCTATCTCATGCTAAAGCTCTCTACCATCACATGGATCCGGTTTGCAGTCTGGTGCTTTGTGGGTAAGCAACTTCCTTTCAGATGCTTGAGCCTCCCTCTCTTTCCTCTCTCTCCCCTCCCTCTCCTGTCCCTTTCTCTCTCCCCCTCCCCTCCCTCTCTGGTTCTCTCCCAGTCCTGGGAATCGAACCAGGGACATTTTACCACTGAGATATATCCCCAGTCCCTTTTTTTTGGTTTTTTGGTTTTTCTCCGGTACCGGGAACCGAACTCACGACCTTGCGCTTGCCAGGCATGCGCTTTGCCGCTGAGCTAAATCCCCAGCCCCTGAAATTTCTTCTTATGTGAGGATAATTAGTACCAAGAAATTTCATTTAAAGTAATACATATTTTAAATAGGAACCCTAATAATATCGTTAAAGAGGGTGTTGGAATTCTCTCTAGGAAAATAAAAACTGTGAAACAGACTTTATGAAAAAATGTATTTATCTCACATTTGATAAAACTGAAAGGTCATCATGCTCTAATTTTTAAATGAATAGAGTATGAATTGTGGATTTTTTGGCATTCTTTTTCTGACAAAATTGTGTCATGGTACTCAATATTCAATATCCCCTACTGACATCTGTAAAGTATCTGAGAGTTTTGCACTTTTCCCAAGGTCCTTTCTTCATTCTCCGATATTCTATGTGCCATCATACTTGCTGATTTTCTCTACTCTGCTCTTAATAACTATGTGACTCTTATTGTCTAAGTTCACTTTTGTTGATTTTAAGAAGTCCTATATCTTTTCCAAGATTTCTAATCTTACCTTGTGATCAATTTATATTGTATTTACTTTACCCATTTACTATCTCTGACCATCAGTGATGTTTATAAGATGGCTGGGGATTGGTACACTGATAATTCTAGGGGGATGTCTAAGCCAAGACTAATTTTAAATTTCCTGAGTCACCTTTGTTTGGATTTTTTTTGTTTTAATTTTTTGAGATAGAGACTCACTATGTACTTCAGGCTGGCCTTCACTCATTGTGTAGCCCAGGTTGGCCTTAAACATGCAGGGATCCTCCTACCTCACCTTCCTGGGTGCTAAGATTACAGTCATGTGCCACCATGTCCAGCATTTAGCCACTAGTTTTATGACCCTTATACAGCCTGGGAACACCAGGATCTCTGATAACAACCACTTAGCTAAGGAGGAGCCTTAAGTACTTTGAGAACTAGGCAAGCAATAGATTAGATGTGAGTAATATTAAGTAACACAGTCAGTGTCTAAGGGAGAGTAGAAACAAATACCTGTGATTCAACTTGCCTGGGCAAGAGGACAGAGACTTGATTAGCAGCCCATCCACTGCTCGAGGACAGAGAAGTGGGTGTTCATTGAGTGTCCTCAGTGCCTAAAATAGAGTGCTTATGCTGTGTGCTCAGGAACTGCTTCCTAATTCGTATAAAGTACTTTTCAAAGGAGAAAAAAAGAAAAATGCAAGTCAAACATCCAGAAAGACCTTCAAGGAATCTGAATGGGTCCTGTAAAGTAAGATTAGATAGAGAGAAGCAGAAAAACACACAGCAATCTGAGGAAAGACGTGTCCTCAGTGGATTTTTTGCCTCTGTGGATCACTCTTGCCTTCCCGTTATCACCATGTCCCAATTCTTCACTATTGTGTCGTCCCTTGTTAGGCTTTAGGGAGGTTTTTTAGAGGACCTCACTAACTCACTGAGATTTTCACTATTTATACAGTTTATTCACAATCTCTCATGCCAGTTGAAACACTTCCACTGTAACATGTAGATCACCACTGGAAAGATCCTATTCTGGGCAGAAGTGACTGGAGTGGATGGAAATATTTTAATCATGAGTTTATGAGGAAAATGAAGCCATAGACATCAATATACATGGACTGATTCATTCATTCAGACTACTAAAGCTGGAGGGTCTTTCACATCTAGCACAATGTCACCCACAGCATGGTGCCCGTTCCATTAGTAATATTTCAGCTGGCTTTAAAGAGAATTTGAATGAATTTTCTAGAATATGTTATAGTCATACATTTTTAAATGTATTAGAATATATATGTATATATATACACATGAATCTGGCAGTTTCACAAATATTTTTGCTCAGGAAAAAGCTATACATTTTTTAAAATATCACAACAGGTGCCATATGATTCATAGTAATAATTGACACTAAAATAGCACCTAGGTACCAGCCATTATTCTGAGGGTTTTATTTATTGAGTTTATTTCATTTACTTATTTAACCTTCACAACGATCTCTATTTTAAAGATAAAGAAACTGAGGTACTTGCCCAAGGACAAGTAGACAAGTAGCTGGAATCTAGCAATCAAGATTAGAATGGGGGGGGGGGGGGGGGGGGGGAAGAGTCTGTAGCCAATATATAAAAAATGTAGCGTATAAGTAAGGAGAGTTGGGAAGACATGGATGTGATCCACCAGCTTCCCACCCTTCCCCCTCTTGATTTTACAGAGGAATAAACTGAAGCTCCAACAAGTTAGACAATGCACCCAAGGTCATCAAGAAGTCATCTGAAGGGCTATTACTAGAATCCAGTATTCTCGTGCTCAGATGAGGGGCTCCTAGCACCCCACCACGTGCCTCTGAACAGACCTTCCCATCTGATCAGGTTTGGTGGTGATTAACACAAGTCAAGGCTGGCTTCATAAGCATGACCTGTGCTCAGGGTCTTCAGCTTGGCTTAATATTCTGCTGCTGCCATCCTGAATTCTTAGTGATTTCTAAGCAAGAGGCCCCATGTTTTCATTTTTTACTGAGCTTCACAAATTCTACAGCAGATACTGCATAACATCGATAGCTTCTGGAGCACCAGGGGCATTTTGCAAAAGTGGTAAGGTGACAGAGGCCTTCACCTTTAGAGTTAAACAGCACCAAGTTCAAATCATAGGTCTGCCATACCTTGCCTTGTGACTTTGGAAAATTCACCTTCTTTAAGCCTCTATTCACTTGTCTGTAAAAATGCAAATCATTCTATCATCCTGGAACTGACTTTTGGAGGAACTCCAATGAGAAAATGTTGAGGAAAGCAATAAGAAATATTTCCTCGCTTTCTTTTAAAAATCTAAAATGATTCATTGTCCACCAGTGTGATCAAACTAGCTATCACATGCCAGAACACAATGTGAACCTGTACAGACTCCAGCTGCCCTTCTATCAGGCAGGGAAAAACTCCCTGTGTGACTTTTGTAACCTTTCAGATAGCACAGGCTCCAAACTCTCCCCAGAAACTGCTCTACACTGACTCAGGTGGATATCACCCTGCAGAGTGGGCAGGCCAGACAATGGGACAGGCACTTACAGTTCAACACATGCCCACCTGACCATGATGTGCAGCCCACTAGCCACATTTGGGGAGGATTTCTAGTATTTCTCGGCACCTACTGCTAACTGCTTAGTAACATGATTTTTGAAGGCAGCCGTATGATGAAATTTAACACAGAACAGAGACTATCAACTTTGCCTACACATCAGTAATACTCTGGGTTGCTTCTGAAACATTCTAAGCCCAAACTTCCCCTTCCGCACCACAAAGATTTTCTGATTCAATTGACTTCATGTGGCCAAATGTTGGGTACACTTTAGAGATCCTCCAAGTAATGTTAATGTTTAGCCAGGTTTACAACAGTTCGCAAGTTGTGGTCCCAGGCCCACAGCGTCAGGATCACTGGAGAACTAAAGAAGTGCAACTTTGGACTCCATCCCAGACATTCAATGTCAGAATCTCTGAGCACAGTTTAAGGGGGTGGTGGCAAACCTATGGCATGCATGTTACTGTGTCTTTCCTTTAAGATAAAAGATGTTAATATATGAGTTGCTTTTTCTAAACTAAAACCTCAGGATTCAGGTTTGATTGCAGTGCTGGCAGTTTGTGATAAATAACAGGGTATTGGGTTGGAGTTAGGCACTTGGTCTCTAACAGGTGCACCATCACTGGTTTAAGGTATAACAAGCTTTCCAAATGACTCTAATGCACGCCAAAGCTTGAGAGCCACTGCTCTAGAGACCAGAAGAAGAAATTATCAAGTAGGGCAGATAATTTAATTACAATGCTTGTTTTTCAAAAACAAATTTTTCCATGTAAAAATATATCCATCCAACACTCCAAATTGGCTTATAAAATCTTCAATGATCTTATAGAATAAATCTCCCACTTCTAAACTTCTAAGCCTCCAAAACATCAGATCTTTCTTTTTAATTTTTCTATGCACAGTATAACTTCCTTGGGAAGAACAGTAAAGATAATTCTAAATGGAGCCTCTTGTGAAACATCAGCTATTTTTTTTAAAGATTTCCTTGGTTAGGCTGAGTCATAGCTTGATAATCATCTTAGACACATTTTTATCCAATGTTCTTCAAATGAATCTTAATTACAGCATTTTATAACAATATATCACTAAGCTTTTGACCTTCGGAAGAACATAACTCAGGGTGAAATGAAGCACAGTCTCCAACAAACTCACCCAACACATGTTTCTTTTCCTTCAGACAAGATAAATAATACATAGTAAATGTTATTAATCCCAACAAAGTAAGCACAAAGCAGCCTTCATTTTCCTTTTCTCTTAGCTAGTGTAGATTTGAAAAAGAACATCTCAAGGGGTTGAGCAGAGTCTCAGAGAATATGAAACTAGCAAGGACACAGTGAGAACACTATACCCATCTTTCAGACCTACCCCTCCCTGTGGGCCTTTACCATGAACTAACCATCTGATAGCCTAGCTCTTGAGCACCCTTACGCTGAGAGCTAGGAAGTTTCCATTTGGAAGTTTTTAAGTTCCTCTGAGGAAAACGAATTCCTCTCTATAGATATTGAGGACATATCAGACTTGCATGTGACATGGGCAATAAGCTTGTGAATCTTATACCAAAACAAGTATTCCAAACAGAATACAAGCCCTTATGATCTTTACTTGATCTATCATCTGAAATCTTATTATAAATGACCAGAAACAGCCACTATGAGGAAGAGAAGAAGAGGGAAGGAGAAAGGCCACCAATTGGAACATAAAGGGCATGAAATTTATG